AAAACCATTGTCAAGATAATTCGACTTTTCAAGATCTGTTCTCAACAGATATCAACATTATACACTCATTTTCTATACTGTTAGGATTTCCCTCATAATTGTAGAATTTCTTCCAGTGTATATAATTATTGCTATATAGTTATTTATCATTTATAAGCAAAAGAGAATTTGTGAAATATTCTAAGCTTGTCAACCCACACTGCACATTTATATTTTATTTTAATTGGAGGATTAATATTTTCAGACACCACAAATGCTTTTTATGATAATTAACAGTAATACAAGGCACTCAGTTTTTAGAAGGTTTGTTAGAAACTTCTCTTCAGAGAGCCACGGGGCACAAACATCCTTTTCTGTTATTTGAAAGAAATTGTCTCTGAAAAATGATCAGAATAAAGCAATGGAACAGAGTTATTTTAAAAAAAAAAGTCTTGATTTTGCACAAATACTTCATCAACAGTCTTGTGCAGTATGAATTGGAATGCCATACACTCAAATGTAAGATGAAAGGAAGGGGAGAAGCGTGGGGGAAATGAGTGAAGAATTAGAAAATGTATGAGATATCTTCTCTGGACTAAGAAATTTATTTAAAGCTGCTATGTAGAAAATTTGATGTCAGGCCAAAATGTTTGTCTCTGCTCTTAAAGAGTAACTAACAAAGGAATTTATATTTCTGCACATAGAACTGCATGTCTACAAATTCACTCAATATTAAAAATATCCACTGGAACGTAGAACTTTTTTTGCATTTAAGTATTCAGCATGGGGGATGGACTGATTATTATAGAATGACAAATATCTGAGCCTAGTTAGTACAGGTCAAATATGTATAGATCGAAAAGGAATTAAGAAATTATTTTAGAGGTCAGTGAATACACATAGCATTGCTCAAGAACCTGATGATAAATTCCATATTGATACCTAATTATCTTAACTGTAGATATTAGGTGCTAGACTTTGAAAAGATGCATTGTAGGTGACCCGATTTATTTAATATTAATTAAAACCTATTTAGTACACGTCAAATATTAAGGAATAGAAAAATAATGAACAAATTAATAGGGGAGAGCATGGAATAAAAGGCACGGTTGTCTAGAAACCAGATAGAAACAAAATTGAAATGGATTCCCTATTATCTTGCTATTGGGAATATTGAAGATAAACCGAACTATTTAATATAAATGGATATGATATTAAGTTGATGTATTAATGACCACTGGAATTAGTAAAGCATGGGACAATTCTTTAAGATGGATTCGTTAACGTTGTCAGTTGACTGTTACAAGAGAATGTAGACAAGTTTTAACCACAAATTAAATTTAGTCCAGCTGAATTTAATTTATTTGTAAATACCTTGTGGGAGATCTGGAATCACATTTAATAGTAAGATCTTTTCTGAGGCTGCCAAAAAAAAAAAAACACGGGACTAATGTAAAACGAACTTAAGGACAAATTTAGTTGTATGATTTGTTTTTTTTAAACAAGTATATGTATTTCAGATAGCACTATTTAGATAAGTGTTTTTGTAAATCTTCTTTTTAAATAGACAAACCTTATTTCTTAAGTTCTTAAAATAGTATTTGTGTTTTTCCTTTTTTGTTTTGTTTTTTGTTTTGTAATAGTTTTTTTTTCTTTTACTTTATTCATTAAGTAGCTGCAAAGAATAACTGCCACATACACATTGCTTATTCTAGTGACAAGATCTCATTTATAATACAGTTGCACATTGCGCAGTTAAAGATTCCTGAAAAATTAAAAGGAGCCAAATGGATGCACTCATAGCAGTTAGCATAAATATGATAACTGTATGGATGCTTTTAATAGCTTGTGGCTTATTTCTGCAGGTTGAACTCACTATTTTCCAATGCCTACAGCAGCAAAGGGGTGCTCAGATGCTGGGCAGTAAAACTGCACCAATTTTTGCCTGGTTTTATTGTAATAAAATGTCTATGCTTCCTATGCCATTAGTGTCCCACTGTATGTACAGCTTCAAAGGAACACATTGGGAGCATCATTTTACCCTATCCAAGGGTACACTAACTACTACAATATTTTACACAGCTTCAGATTTTTGAAATAATGCAGTTATATGGATGATTTAGCAGTAGGATACATTTTGCAATTTTTATTTTCTTTGTAACAAAAAAAATATTGTAGAATAGCTTGTAGTGTACAATAGTAACGTGATCCTTTCATCCTTGTATCTAACTTGTGGGCAGCAGTATTTGAAATCCTCTCGTATCTTTCTGTGTGGTTTGTGATATAAATGTACATGAAATTAAATGCACCTGTCCTTTCAATGTGTCTTAATACTGATCTGTACCTACTATTATAAATATGCTTTCACTCTTATGATATCCATGTAGACTAATGTCAATGTACTACACGCAAGTTTTATACTCTGATATTTATATTGCTTTTCTTTCTTTGGAAAAAATAAAATGTTTTCTTCCAAAAAAAATAAACTAATTCTGTGTAATTTTCTTTTGGATGCTAAATATTAGTATTTATGTGTATTTAATTGGGCAAATAGTGTACATATTTCCATTTGTAGTATAGCATATGTCAAATTGACATAACTACCATGGTAGCAGGGGTCGCAACTGTGACCCCTGCAACCGTGTGCCACCAGCATCACCTCAGGTCTGGAGCCTGGTCATACCCGGGGCCATGGTTGCCGGGTGATTGGCAGGAGGGGAGCGCTATGCTGCTCTCCTCCTGCTGCTGTGTGTAGCTTGGCCAAGCAGACCATGGTCTGACAGGAAGTGCTCACTGAGAGAGCAATTCCTGTCAGACTGTGTACCTCAGTGAGCAGGTACAGTACGGGAGGTGGGAGAGACACATGGAGAGGCTGGGGATGGAAGGAATGAGACACATGGAGGGGCTGGGGAGAGAGGGAATAAAACACATGGAGGGGCTGAGGGGAAAAGGGAATGAGATACATAGAGGGGCTGGGGGAGAGGGAATGAAACACATGGAGGGGCTGGGGATGGGGAGAAGAAATAAAACACGGAGATGGAATGAGACACATGAAGGGGAGGTGGGGCATAAGACATATGGGGGGCCCAGGGTCATTTCACCTTGGGGACCAGTGGTTTCTAGTTATTTCTCATAGATTAACTCATGTAGCTCACAAATAAGAATCTACATGAGTTAATCTATGAGCGCATTAAACTACAGTTGTCAGAAATCTTGTCTATATCATTATCAATTGCAAATAGATTTCTATGTATGGTGTGCTCTGTAAAATAAAATAGGACTTGAGTTCACTTCCAAAAGCTGATCGTTGAAGGTATATTAACTTAATATAGACAACATAATGGCTGTTTTCAGGAGTCCAAATAACTGTAAAGCATAATTGTATATTTCATTATTTTGCATGTACATTGCTGGATTCATACAAAAACTAAAACATCATGATTACTCAGAGTAAAATCTATATATGTCTGTGCAAGGATGGAAATAGTGCTGCCTACACAAGTCCTCTTGTCTGCACAAGTTCTTAGATTCTGCAAGGTTAAGAAAGTGACTTGCACTGTGTCAGCGGGCAGCTTGTTCTCACAGGTTCTTGCATGTACTTGGACTGTTCAAATTAAACGGAAATCCCCCATCAGAAATTATATCCAGGAATAGGGTAGGTGTTTTGGCAAAAAAATAAACAAAGATAACTGCAGGGCTGAATAATACAATATAAATACTAGTTTTTACACGTTCTCAAAGTATACATTTTAAATATGATTAACATTGTATATGATGAGCAATGTATAAAGATGTACAAATCTATGTAATATGAAATCATTATAACACAGTATATACAATATAAAACAGTGCTAAATCTAACATCAAAAAATATATACGTGTTAGTGGTGTTGTGGATCCAAATAATGTTCTTTGTTATATTCAGAGGAAGCCCAAATTATTATTACAAGTGCACTTGGAGAAGCGAGAATTAGACACCAGACACCTGTTGGTATTCAAAATAAGCCTCTGCCGTTTTATTCATCAGCTGGGTTTTATACATTAAAAAGTAAGTGCTTACGTGCAAATACTCTTAGAACAGTAATAGGAAGTGAGTACAGATAAGACATAGGGATGAGCGCCATGTACACATAACAAATAAGTTCCAAGGTAAGAAATAACACAAATAGAGACATCTCAGGTGGGGGCTCTCTGCTTCCAGAACTAGACATATATGGTCTTAAGTGTTGTGTTAAGCATCAAGCATTTCCTGAGTCCAAGTTAGCCAATTTTAATATAGGATATCATTATATGACACCTATAAGCTTGAGCCTTGGAATCAAGATAAATTCTATCACAATCCCCTCTTTTGATCCAAGGGTCACCCAAATGTCCAAGGTATTTCCAGGCCTGCTAGCCAAAGCCTGTGGGACTTTCATTTATTGCTTCACCATGGTTCCCTTGACTGAGAGACCACCAGAATCAGCGGAGGAGAGTTCCTTCATTTGTTAGGCGAGGTAACATCATAAAACCCTTCCGAAGTCGAAGCTGGAATGTAAGTTAAGGTACGACAAACAGTAGGTTTGTTGTTACATAGAGAGGTTAGTAGACATGAGAAAAATCTAAAGGTTAGAAAAATGGACATAACAAATACGGCTAATAGCAAAAAAGTACAAATTTTTCTTAATTAGTAAAGTCAATGGCTGCTCTATTCTCAAGAATTGCCTTCTTATTTGCCTGGTTGTTCATAAGTAGCTTTTCTAGGGCCTGTGAAGTGGCATTTAAACACTTTGCAAGGGAACAGGCTACAGCATTAATTACTCGGGTAGATATTTATGGGGTCTATGTGTATGTAGGTACTTCCTCAAGAGTGAGATGGTGGTAGGGACAGCTATTAGACAAGATTCTATGGCGTTTTCAGTACTGAGGAGAAGGTTGAGGCAAAAGGAGGTTACATTAAAAGCCTTTGCTATCTGCAATTATATATTTCCCTGCTATGCATTATTATCTTCTGGTCTCAAGTCAGAGTAGCATATCTGAACAGAGCATACAATGGTAAAGGATAAGAACATCTTCATGTCGGTGGATCAGTCGGAGTGACTTGTTGACACTGGCGTGTATCCACGTGACTTTTCCTTCTAGTTTCACTGAGGTAGCCGTAGTCAAGAGCACTTGGAATGGACCATCAAAGTGTGGTTCAAGTCCTTTCCTCACATGCCTCTTTATCACCACCCAATCACCAGGCTGCAGTTTGTGAGTTGCAGAATAAGAGTCTGGATCTGGAATAGAATCAAAGACTTGTTTATGCACCCTGCCTAATCTTTGGTGTAGGGTCTGTACATAGGCAGTCATACTACCATGCTGCATCTGGAGGGTCTGGGGAAAATAGAGGCCTGTCTTTGGGGCACATCCAAACAGTATCTCAAAAGGCTATAGGCCATGTCTGAAATTGGGGGTGAACCTCATAGAAACGAGTGCTAGGGGAAGGCATTCAGTCCAGGGCTTCACTGTGTCTTGCATTATTTCCCCAGTGAAATGGCTACCTCTGTCACTTTCAATCACTTCAGGTACTCCATATCTACATACCAGTTCCTTCAGAAGCTTACTTGCTGTGACCTTCGTTGTGGCTTTTGACACTGGGTAGGCCTCAGGCCAACCTGAAAAGAGATCAATGCACACCAACAAGTAAGCTTCTGAAGGAACTGGTATGGCGTACCTGAAGTGATTGAAAGTGACAGAGGTAGCCATTTCACTGGGGAAATAATGCAAGACACACTAAAGCCCTGGACTGAATGCCTTTCCCTAGCACTCTTTTCTATGAGATTCACCCCCAATTCCAGACATGGCCTATACCCTTTTGAGATACTGTTTGGATGTGTCCAGATAAACTGGATTTGTCTGATCCTGGATTTCACTGCACCAAATTGTTGTGGATCCAAATAATGTTCTTTGTTATGTGTACATGATGTTCATCCCTATGTCTTATCTGTACTCCTTTCCTATTACTGTTCTAAGAGTATTTGCACGTAAGCACTTACTTTTTAATGAATAAAACTCAGCTGATGAATAAAACGTCAGAGGCTTATTTTGAATACCAACAGGTGTCTGGTGTCTAATTCTCGCTTCTCCAAGTGCTCTTGTAATAATAATTTGAGCTTCCTCTGAATATAACAACGAACATTATTTGGATCCACAACAATTTGGTGCAGTGAAACCCGGGATCAGACGAATCCAGTTCATCCGGACCCAGAAAGGTTGGCTCGGAGCGCAGGCGGTTAATCAGCTGCAGCAAGTAAGAAAAAGCTTTTATTTTTCTACCTGTAAATGATTTTGACTCTCTGGTAGTGATGTCGCAAACCCGAAATCTTCCGCAAATGTTCGCGAACCGGCGAACCGGGCGAACCGCCATAGACTTCAATGGGCAGACGAATTTTAAAACACACAGGGACTCTTTCTGGCCACAATAGTGATGGAAAAGTTGTTTCAAGGGGACTAACACCTGGACTGTGGCATGCCGGAGGGGGATCCATGGCAAAACTCCCATGGAAAATTACACATTTGATGCAGAGTCTGGTCTTAATCCATAAAGGGCAGAAATCACCTAACATTCCTAAATCACAATGGATATGGATTGATACCTGACATATTGACACAGAGCAGAATAGAGACTGTTCCTCCTACATAGGGTCACTTGGCAGATATGGATTGACACCTGTCCTCAGAGACCATGATACACACCGACACAGAGCAGAATAGAGACTGTTCCTCCTACATAGGGACACTTGGCAGATATGGATTGACACCTGTCCTCAGAGCCCCTTACACACCGACACAGAGCAGAATAGAGACTGTTCCCCTACATAGGGTCACTTGGCAGATATGGATTGACACCTGTCCTCAGAGCCCCTGATACACACTGACACAGAGCAGAATAGAGACCGTTCCTCCTACATAGGGTCACTTGGCAGATATGGATTGACACCTGTCCTCAGAGACCATGATACACACTGACACAGTGCAGAATAGAGACTGTTCCCCCTACATAGGGTCACATGGCAGATATGGATTGACACCTGTCCTCAGAGACCATGATACACACTGACACAGAGCAGAATAGAGACTGTTCCCCCTACATAGGGTCACTTGGCAGATATGGATTGACACCTGTCCTCAGAGCCCCTGATACACACTGACACAGAGCAGAATAGAGACTGTTCCTCCTACATAGGGTCACTTGGCAGATATGGATTGACACCAGTCCTCAGAGATCATGATACACACTGACACAGAGCAGAATAGGGAATATTCACTAAATGCCAAACATTGTTATACAGGGGAATATTCAGTAAATAAGGATAAGGGGGGGACCTACTGTCCTCCCCCCCGACCCCCACCCCTGCACGGTGGGTGGGAGCCATAAATCGCAATGGGGGGGACCTACTGTCCTCCCGCCCGCCCCCACCTGTGAGCGGTGGGTGGGGGCCATAAAAATAATGAGGGGGGGACCTACTG